ATATATATATAAAATACCATGCTGGTGCTGTACACCATTTGGCACTAACCGGACTGTCTTAGCAGTTTTTCTGCAGATTCAGCATGTTGAATTGGTGGCGGACCCCGTTGGTGAGAGGGACCATTCTGATTGGGATTGGCTGTTCATCTTAGCAAATCAATGCATGACAAGAGGATAGTTTGGGAAAGCTCCTTCAGTCTATCACTGTAGTATCCACGAGTTCACCCATTTAGTGTAGTTTCTCTTTATTTTTCACCTCCATGACTTCCTTTTTTTCATCCACAACCAAAAGGCACAGAAAGGCTAAAGGCAGAGAGCGCCAGTGTCATTTGCAACTTCATATCAGACATATTCTCTATTAGAAGCATCTATAAACTGCAGCTGTGTTGAACAAGAGCTGCTTTGTTTATGGTCTGTATATCTGCAATCTAAGGTTTCCTCTTTCCTTTTCTGAATGCCCAATACAGATACTGCTAGGTAGGAGGAGTTATTTCTCTCCCACAGCTACAGAACATACATTGAGGTTGGTTGTTGGTTGTAGTGTAGTTGTTGTGCTGAAGTGCCACTTTTCTGACTCTAATGGAAAAGAGAAAGGTGACGTGAGGCAACACAACAGTTTGCTTTCATCGCTGCTATTTCTTTTATGTCGGTTTGTTGTGTCTCTGCCATAAGGAAACAATATACAGCAATATTTTGTACTTTTTTTTCCTGTTCTTCTCAAATGCCATAATAAAACTAGCACTTACAGAGTGATTTGCCAAGACACAGACACAGGTCCTAGTTCCCATGTAAAAATGATTACATGTGAACTGGCTGAGCTATGCAAGTGGTTTATCAATGAGCTAGTCGTCAGTCTATAAATGAAAGAGAGGAGCAGACAGATAAGGCAGTAGCATCTCCAGAGACCTGCCCTCTGCTCAAGAATGAGGATACAGGTATAGTGTGTGTGTGTGTGTGTGTGTGTGTGTGTGTGTGTGTGTGTGTGTCTCACCTGTTCTCAGGGTCTGGTGTAGTCATGGCTCGGGTTACATAACACATCTTGAGTGGAATGCACCTCCTGTCACCCTGTAGAGACAGATATGGCTGGAGAGGAGGGCTCGGAGGGTCAGGTGAGGAGGAAGTGAGGCTGTTGAGGCGGGGAGACTCAGGAGGGAGAGTTTCCCAGCTGATTTCTGAGACGGGGGAACCTTTTTTGACGTATGGTGTGGCCTCACGCATGTACTTCACTGGAGAGAGGAGTAGGATAAAGATTTTCAGTGTACAGTCAAGCATAGTGCAGAATGAATAAAGACATATTTTGAAATTTAATTATTCTGGAGACACTTTTGGTGAGAGTGAGGAGTTATTCTGAACACATTAATTGCTAAAATATGAAGAAATATAGCAATTGTTTTAGGAATAGAGAATCTTTGCTATAAACTTTGTTTTATAAAGTGCTTGATGAATAAAATGAAATTTTGGCAGAAAAAAACTTAAGAGAATGTAAGATTACATCAAGGTCTACTGAAGATGGCCTCTCACTGGCCCTGGATTTGATTTAACATAATTCAACACAGAAGCCAATTATAATCTGAGTAGAATCCATGTTTGACCTTCTATCCATCTTGTAATATAAAACCTACATGCCTTTCAGCAGTACAACTAAACTGTAACTTGATCTGAAATAGTTGTAGTTAAAGTCTGTGGTTACAGGTCAGAGAGAAGTGTGGTTAACTGTGTAATTATGGTGCCACTGAGGCATTTCCTGAGTACTACAGACTGGCACAGGGCAGCAGATTGATAGAAAACCAATTATCAGCAATATCTCTGTGCATTAAAGTTGCTCGATCTCTGGTGCAAAAGCCTTGAAGACTGTGTGGGTAGTCAATGGAAAGTTGCCAGTCATTTACTTTTTTTATTAACAAAACTTATGACTGTGAACCTATTAAATAACTGTATCATCTCGTTCATGAAAAGGTGAATGGAGTTTCCTTAAAGTAAGCCAATGTTACAAATTATATATTGTTTCCTGACAACTTCAATAACAGCTAATATCGAAATGCAGATTGCCAAACAGGTTTTTCTGCCGCTACAGGTAGCATCAGTAGAGTTATCGCACCAGTAGCAACACTGAACTTACCACCATAGCCCTTAATATTTCCTGATATGGCTGGCCTACCTGAGAAAACTTTTTAAGTAATAAAATAGAAAGTTATAATTGTAAAAGTCAAACTCTGAATCACTGGAGGCTCATTAGCTATTTTAAATTCTTAGTGTTTTTAGGCTTGAGAAGGCGAGAATAAGAGACAAGGCACACATTCCAGTGAAAGACAGAAACCAGAGGCAGAGATAAAGTGGGTGCTTAGCACTCCCTCAGTGTTCTGAGTACTTGCATGACCTGGATGTTTAATTGGCATATCCCACTAAGCGCCCCATGTAACTGCATATGGCTGGTAGCATTTGTAATCCTGCATGTGAACTATTCTTGGGACAAGCACTATAGACCCCAATGAGACTGTGTAACAAGCCTAACCACCAACCAGTAGAGTAAAGATGACAGGCTGACAACACAGAGGAGGAGACGGGGGTGATGTTAAAGTGTCCTCAATAGACTTACAGAGATGGCTGCACAGCAGAAGAACCCACACAGTCAGATCAGATTAAAGACCTGAAAACTGGTTGATCTATTTGTTAAATGCCTCATAACAAGGTACAATACAAATGAATTAAATGGGCTTAAAGTATCGAATTTGTTGCAGTCGGGTGATGACAGCCTTGTCCGGTTTTGTTTGTATTTATGAGGCGACAGTGCGGTGGGTAGAGCAGTCGTCTCCCAACCAGAAGGTTGAAGGTTTGAATCTCGGTGCCTGCAGTCCACATTGTTGAAGTGTCCTTGGGCAAGACACTGACCCCCCGTTGCCCCCGATGGTTAGAGCCATCGGTTGAGTTGGTAAAACAAGTGGTTGCCTTGGTTCTGTACCGGAAACAAATTCCTTGTGTGTGTGTAACATACTTGGCCAATAAAGGTGATTATCATTATCCTATGAGACTCAATTGCCATAGTGGTTTTATGGCCTTAAATCTGGACATTTGATGCACTTTTCTTTTTATACAATTGATTTCTGGTTGTACAAAAAAAGACATCACCTTGGGGTTTTTGATATTCATCTGATTTCCCTTTCATTTTAAAAGATTACTAACAAATTAAGCAATAATGAAAACTAATTAAGAAGAAAACGATGATGGGAATTTTACCTTAAATGAGATGGATTTTAAATAACACTGCAATTATGTGGCCAGACATATCTCACTCTCTATCCTCTCAAGCCTTAGCTTATACATTTATATTCCATTTATTTAACTGATTAAACTAAAAGAAAAAAAATAATACAGCTATTAATTGCATTCTGTTAACATTTATAAAGCTCAGTGACCAGTGTCACTGTGTCCAGAAATACAGCTGTAAGTGTTTCCATTAGAGAGGAAAATAAATGGGGTGGCATCCACACCCATGATCATTACACTGGAAATGTGTTAATGTGTGTGTGTTCCCCTGGGTCATGTTTCTATTCCACTGCAGCATCAACACGGCCAGCTGTGCACAATTACCTCAATAGCAAGATATGCTGTTGCTACTTGAGCCTTTAGTGAAAGCAGGCTACAAGCTGCTTGCTGTTACATAAGTCAAACCAAAGGATCAAAAACAATATCAGTATTCAAATCAGTAGCTTGCTGTTCCAGTAGTCAAGATGCAGATGTAGGTGTGGTATATCACCAAAGACCAGCTGTTCAACCACCCATTAAAAATTCCCATTCACTTCCCTTCGTGACCTTTTTAAATTGTACTTGACCCTATTCACTTACACATTGTACTAATGAGGCAATTCATTTCTTCAGAAGTGGTAGAGCTTTCTGTGTTGACAGTGGAGCCAAGAGTCCATGGATTCGATTGTGTCTACCACACACACACACACACACACTTGTTCAGTCACATTCTTCTTGCATTTGCTATGCAGCACCGATCTTCCTTCACATACACACACACACACACACACACACACACACACACACACAGAGCTCTATAACATCAGATGTAATTACTGTATCTGTCTCATTGTGTCTTTTTCACTTAATGATCCCTATCAATATTTAACAAGGTCTAAAGTCATTAGACTTTCTACCATATGCTCTGAGTGTGGACCTTTTTAGTGAATGTAAGCCTGTGGGAGACAGCAGAAGGTTTAACACTGGTATAATTTGAAAAGAAAACAGACAAGGGCAAGGAGGTAAAAAAGCTGCTCTCATTGCAGAATGAAGGCTTTTGCTCTTGAACGAGTATTTGAATACTACAGCAGCACAAAAGGCTTTTACAAATTCACTTTCAAGACATCCTTTTGTATGATTTGGACCAAACTGATTTCAGATATCATCTTAAATATGAAATGTGTGTATAGGTAGAAGCACACACTGACACTGAACTTTGAATTCCACGTCAAACAACTCTCTGCATTGTAAAGAAGAGGCATGAAATACATGTTTACATAAAGAACAGGTTGTTGAAAGTGTTTGAAAGACCATGACTATATGAAAATCAAAGTCTGAGTCATAGGAGCATGTGTGTATACTAGTATAAAAGTTAACTGAATTCTGAACACAGAGAGGGAAGGGAGATGAGAGCGCTCAGGACCTTATTTGCAAAAACTCAAATAATCAGAGGCAAATACAGCAGATGATCACACTAGTGCATTCAGAAGAACTTAAATGTGACATCTCCATTACTTTTAACAACAACCTGAAAATTAAATGACAAAAATCACACTAACATATTAAATTGCAGCTGGGAAACAACTCACATCCCACATATTCTTAGATTAACAACCATAACTAGGTACTGAAGAAGCATCAGGCTGTGGATTTCTCCCCATGCTAAAAAGTGTGCATGGTGCTATAGTAATAAAAAGACACTTTTGAAAGCATTTCCAAAACCAAAATCACAAGGGCAAAATGTAAAGAATTAATAAAGCATTGTATTTATCTGCTTAGCAAATTAGTGCATTCAACTTCCATTCAGCGTCCATGGTGACAAGATGAGTTTGATGTCAAGCATTCTCGTAACTATAGACTGTATATACAAGTAAAGGATGTGTCACCACTTCCTGCCACAATGCAAACGTAAAGCCAATATATCACAAATACGGGGGTGGCCATCTTGACTTTGTGAAGTATTTTGCGACCAAATTCTGCATGGTAGTGAACAGAGGTGAATCCATGGTATAAAGCAACCCAAAATACACCCCCCTTTTTAATAATCAAATAACTTATCGAAAACAAACATTAGAAAAATGACTGCCTGTACACAAATCAGTGTGACACTATCTACTGTACCTAAAATAACAGAACTCACCTTTGAGAAAAATGTATTTGATTTGTACTTCGAATTTTTTGTTCAGCTCATGTCCCATCTGCCAACATGAAGGGCTGGGTTTATGACTTATATAGCAAGCAGCCACCAAGGGGCGATCGACTCGTGTTGGCTTCATTTCTGGGGAACTGTCATATCGTCCATCTTTGTCAGTCTGTGCTCATAACCAAAACCTGCTGATCCATGTTAAAATGTCCACAAATCTATCAAGGTATTTCTTCCATGTTTGCTTATGAAGGACCTTTTGGAGTGGCAACACTTCCTATTGCCAAAAAAGTTTCCATAAAGTAACTTGGTCTTGTCAAAAAAAGTGGAAAAGGTTATTGATAAAAAACATTTTCTTCACTATCATCAGCCATTAAACCAGAGATCTGTGTGTTTGCAGATTTATATTTTTCAGTATTTCCATAAATGGTAAAATAAAACTCCATAGTTACTCAAAACCACAACCACAGAAAGTGAGAGCAGATGGCAGATTTTACAGTATGCTGTTGATTCATCTACAGTGTCACACATTCACCAGAGGTCAGTGACGCAGTCTAACAGTCTAACAGACTTTTTAATTTGGGTTATTTGAGGTCACCCTGTTAAATATTTTTGTATAACTTTTGTATTTATATATTTAAATGTTAGATAGAAATGATTCTCCACTGTAGAAGAGCTCAGTTTTATAATGAGGGTCACAAGAAAACTAGAACAAAACAAACACAATGTACAAAAACATAATGATTACACCTGGCAGGGGGAAGGAGTTGTTGTCTTCTTCAGAAAGGCCAACAGGAGAAACAGATGAGCTTTAGTTCCATATCTCCATCTGCTTTTGTT